CCTTTCTTTCCAGCAAGATGCTGATTGGAGGAATGACGTAGACCTGAATTAGCTAGGTATATGTGGGATTTATTTTCTTTCTCATTGAGTTTTCAACATGTGATACAAAATTTATGATGAAGAATCTGTTAAAGCAAAAGCAGAAACAAGCTTCCCCCTCCCAGGTTATACTATTCAAGACCAAAAATAGAAGAAAGAAGAAAAAAAAAAAAAAAAGTTTTCTTTTTCTGGTCAAATGTACTTTGATACTTGAAAATGAATAAATAAGCAAAGACTTGATGGAAATGTGTGGGCCTTTTTAATCTTAAGGATTATTCCAGCATGCATCTACATCATGCATAGCTACTTAATTACAGCAAGGGTTTATGGTACCAATGTCATTAGAGGATCTTCTGCCTATGGTGAAGGTTTCAACAATGCAGCTGGGTGCATTTGGATGTATGCATTTGCTCTTGGATTCAAGTTTGTGTAGGCATTTCTAGTGGAATATGGCTTTCAGGGAGGTAAATGTACTTTATAACAATTTGATTGAAATGGATGCTCAAAAGCAGATTCTGTCAGACCATACTGCACACTGTTGGCTCACAGGAAAAACAATGAAGAATCATTTATTAACTATTTCCTAAAATCCTGGTTTGGGGACTGAATATCCATGCATACAACAAGAGCTGATGTGGCACACCGTGTGCTAAGCCAGCTAGGTTGTGTAAGGTTGTGACTATGTGTTTCCAGTCCCTGTATTTCCAGTGTGAGTGCACACTGGATTTATTGACATCTGATGCATTTAGCTTTCAGTGTCCCTAAGTTGTTTACTATTTCTTCAAAATGCTTACAAAGTATGCAACTGGATATGGCTAAAATTCAGGATGTGTTCCTCTGTGGAAGCACACTATGTAAAATTAACCTGGGTTGAACATACAGGTATGAAGCCGAGATCCTTGTACTACAGGATTAACAATGACATGATTGTAATTATAGTAAATTCAAATTCTTTGTGGCCCATTTACCAAATGGGACCAGAAATCCACTTGGACTGTGAAGATAGTTGTTTAATTCGACAAGGAATACAGTGTCACTATTTACTTCTCAAGTAACTGAGGATACCAGACCTTCTCGCTTAGACAAAAACCTGTTGCTTGTTTTGATGCTTAATTTGGTGGAATTATTCAGGACTGACACAAGATTAGCTGAAACCAGAACACGATCCAAGATACAAAGATATGTCCTTTTTTATGGCTGTCTGTTCTAATATTGAAAGGCAAAAAAACCAAAACATTATGTTGACTACTGGGAGAAAACATGAACGTTGCTTGGAATTCATGGCTGGAGAAAAGGAATTCTTGAAGTAAAAAAAAGTAACTGTAATGGTGAGTTCTATTTTCTTAGTTCTACTGCAGCTGCTTACATATTTTTGACAAAACCCCCAGTCATTTTAAACATAAAGAGGAGTTTATATCAAGAAAATTCAGTAAAAACAAGAACTGAGTGATAGTTCTCCCATAGTCGGACGCGTTTCGAGCTGTTCAGTCTGAAATGGGCTCAGCAGCATGCAGGCAGCTCAGAGGGGAACAAGGCGTGTGATGGAGGATTGGATGAGACTGCTCAGGAATGACTGAACATACAAGCTGATATCAAATGGAAGTTTACAATTGCTAGAGCATTTGACTGCTGCAGAAGATCATTAGGAATTTGCTACGTTTCCAAGTTTTTGTCAGCCCAAAGGCAAAGGTTAATGCGTGTAATAATCATAATCACCAGGAAGGCTTTTAGAGAGAAAGCAAATTTTTAGGGGAATGAAGGGCTCATTACAGCACTGCGAATTACACAAACTATTATTTTTTAAAGCAAGGCTTGCCATCTCTGATGGCTACACTGTATTAATTAAGCATGAGTTCCCTGGTAGTGAGATCTTCTGTTGTGTTCCTGTCATAGCTTGCAGCTAACTTCAGTAGTGGGAATTTTTAATTAGGAGTGCACAGTGGTAACAATATATAATTAATCTTTGGATTTAAACATATCCCTAAGGCTTGTAAAGTTAAATACACACTTAAATCATTTGCAGAATTATGACCACAGCGTTTATAAAATAGATCTGGATCCAGATTTTCCTCATAGAAAATGATCACTAAGAGGGCCTGAACCTAAGCACGTGGCCATGTATATCAGAAGAAAATTAATCTTCTCCAAAGTAAAAAACCAAATTATTGTGTTGTTTTAGGCTTTTTATTTTTTTGCTTTTGAAAGCCAAAGTCCCTGAGTTACAGGTGTGTAATAGACAACATGGGAGGCTTCTAACCACTGTCACATTTGCTCATAATCTGATCATGGATTATTCATAGGCAATTTGTGGGGAGCCAGGGGTCAAACTTCAACCTAATCATTTGGATCCGAAGCATCTAAAGATTCTGCTGCAGCAAAATGTTTTGTTATGTGCCTCATTCTTCTCTGCTGAGCACATAATCACTGCAAACATTGTGTGCGATTTCAATTTCCTGTTCTTGCCAGGAAAAGCAAAGGATTGTTTCAGCATCTTTCACCTCCACCTGGGCAAGGTCTGACAGTGTAAATTAAACGACAGGGGAAGGTTTAAATTCTTCACAGCTGGGCATGAAGGTGGATCCAGTGAAAAGCACTCTCCTGGTTGCTTGGGCTCAGTCGAGGTGATGGAAGCCTTGTCTACAAGGCTGTTCCAACAAGTGGAAGATGGACATCAGGGCAAATTTCAGTTACTACTATAGTTTTTCTGTGCTATCACCTTCAGAAATGGGCTGAGCACACTTCCTTGACCACAGCTCATCAGTCTTGTGAACTAACTACTTAAGTATGCCGTGAAATAACAGTCTGGATTAAGAGATTGGTTTGATGGGATGAATTGAATGGGAAATTGAACTGTGCTTTCTTATTTTTTTCATTGTAGAGACAGTGATTCTGTTGAAGCCTCTAGCGTTCAGCCAGATACTGCTGGAAAGAGAACTTTACTACAAAGTTCTATTTGTTTGCCTTTTTCTCCATGCAAATAATGCCTGTGATTTCAAGATGAGAATGGGGAAACATTCCCATTTCACCTGGCAGGTTTGAACAGAAAAGCAGTATTCGTAAAACAGCCTATCAGCATGAGGAGATAAGGCTCAAACAAACAGCCATGAGCATGCATTTCATTTGGGGTTTATCAGCCTACTGGGAAAGGACTGGAAATATTCGATCTGTATTTTGCATATTTCAGTGATAATAAAATGAGCTTTAAACAGTCAGTAATATGGAACAGCAAAATAGGACATGGAAAATGTTTATTTATGGACGACAGGCTAAAATGCTGCAGAGATTTCAATATGGTGACATAACCATTCTATGAGCTTTCCTTGTCCTTTTCTCCTCCCTTTCCAGAGATGCATGCACAAATAAAACGTATGCCTGGTGTATATCTGCATAGACTTATTCACTGCATTTCTGTGTGACACCTTTGTTGTTGGGTCTGTTTGGATAAACAACACTCCACTTCATAACACATACATAAATGCAAGATCGATTTACACGCACCCATTTATAAAGTTGCAAAAAAATATGAAAAAATAATGGCAGCGAATGAAACAGAAAATATGATGTTTTTCTCTTGGTTTTAGTTGCTAACCATACACATAGGAAAAAAATCTCAGTAAAACTCAGTCACCATATTGATCAAGAATGATAAGGATGTTTCATCATCTCATCAAATCACGGGAGTTTGCGGCATGCTTTGCTCCATACGTGCATGATGTGCAGCAGATACCAAACATGCAGTCAGCAAGTCTTAATCATAGAATCATAGAATTGCTCAGGTTGGAAAAGACCTTAAAGATCATCAAGTCCAACCACCACCTAACCATTACCCTAACTCTAACAGCTCACTGCTAACCCGTGTCCCTGAGCACCACATCCAAGCTGCTTTTAAACACATTCAGAGATGATGACTCAACCACCTCCCTGGGGAGCATATTCCAGTGCTTAATCAGTATTACCCCTGCATATCTTGGGTGATAATTACATTCAATGTCTGGCGTTTGACCTCCCAGCAGCACACAACATGGGATGTCTTCGTGAAAACCACAGGGAAACTACGTATGGGAGACAACATATTCACTACGCTTCCTCCTGAGTGCTAATTCAGAAAACAGACATCTGAGGAATGAATTTAATGTACTACTTATGTCTAAGGAAAATGCCCGAGCTCATGAAAACTTGTATGGAAAATGTCTGTGGTGTTTAGACTGAGAAGCCATGAAAACACCAGAAGTGCTGCCCCACTCAGTAGTTATCCAAAATAATTTTGTATACGGCTGCAAGCACTCCATGTAGGAACAGAAACTGCCTCAAATGACCAACCTCAATCCTACAATAAGGCAGAAGAAAAGGATGTGAGCTTTAAAACAAGTTTTAATACAGTTCTAAAACTTGCAATGGAAAACTCTCAGGATTTCTTTTTAATTTTTAACCAGTTCTAAGTGGGGAATTGTTTAGCTTAATTGGAACAGATTCATTGTTAGCAGAAACATGGACATGAGCATAAGCAAATTTAGGAGATCTAAAATACAGTTCAGACTACAGGTCCTGAAATCTTTTCACCAAATCTCACTGCTTTCAGTCAACTCTGTGCCTATGGAACATATGAAGCATTAAAATCTGTCCTGTGAGTGTAATAATATTTATGCCTGGTCAGTATGTTAATTTACAGATGACTGACTGATCTGTAAATAATAAGTACTTTTATTTAATCCAATATTTATGCTTTTTTTGTTTATTTGTTTGTTTGTTTGTTTTGTTTTTTTCTTCCCTTAGCTTTTTACAAAGGATTAAAGGCAGTGTTAAAGTGCACTATGGTGAACTTTGGATTTAAAAAAATCCTAAATCAACCAAATAGATTGAGTGACTCTTTTAACAGTTAACTCCAATATCTTTTTTACTTCTTATTTTTTCCTATGTGTATATTAGAAATTTCAGCTGATTACTGCTTCATTCGTACTTACAAATAAATGCTGGATTCATTGCCTCCAATGTCAGGTGACTGGAGTTTCTGCACAAGTATCACAATGATGCCAATAAAAAGCACAAAGTTTATCTGGGGGAAAAAGAAAGGACATTACAATGACCATGATTTACTTTTCCAGGCTTCAGATGAGACTTTCTGTCAGCCCTTTCTTGAAACTCCTGACTTGTGTTACTTTCTCTCCACTTGGAATCTGAATCTCTCTCACAGGAATCTGTTCCACAATGAGATGACCTCCAATGTCTTCATTTTTTTTTTAAATGTTTTTCTTCATATCTTTTTTATTTTTTATTTTTTATTTTTTTTTTTTACCTCATCCTGAGCATCTTCTTTCTCATAGGTTCACGTTGTTATAACTATAGTTATAACTTTCAATTCAGGTTTGGTTGTCACCAGTCAGCTTTATAAGGCCAGAAAAAAAACAGGAAACTTAAGGTTTTATGTTGTTTGCTTGAACACCTCTTTCACTATAATTTTCTATCTACTTTTCTATACGAAGATTACAAGTGCTTGGAGATGCCCAGTATTATCAGTTCAGTTACAATGAATGTGTCTGAAGATTACTGTGCTTTAGATAGTTGTCCAAATTGTTAAAAAGAGAAGCACTGCACCTGATGTAGACATCTGTCTGTTTATATTCCCACAACAGTCAACAGAGACCTTGCTGACACTCTCACTGTAGTATGGATGGGAACTTAGAATGCCCAGAAGCAGGTACCAATGTCCAGTAAGCTAAACAACTCATTAGGTGCCATGAACCATATTTATTTGGTGCTCAATTTAATTTGTTATCTGGAGCAGCCAGCCTCCTCCAAGTGCTACTTACCATGATTGACCCAACCACAGGACCCTTGATCACCCACCACAAGGCAGTGTTGTCATTCATGTCCCAGCAGCTGCGGAATGGGGTGGGGAAAGAGAAGGAAATAAAAAAGATTAAGACATAACACCGAAGTAAATAAGCTTGCCAACATTTTTAAGGGGGCAGAGGGTGGGATATTGGCTTTGCAGCTATTCATTTCGTTTCAAAGGTTTCATAGACTGTCCCCGCTGAAGCTTTCTTTTACAGCCTTTACCCCACTCATCCGAAACAGAGTAAATACTGTTCAATTTTTTTTGCAATTCCAATTGTAAGAGGATACAAAATAGTTCAGACATTTTGGAAAAATCCTCTGTGCTTATTCCTGTGTCCACCAACCATAAAATTCTAAGATTACCCATTTGGGTCAACATCTCTGTAGAGAGGGATAAGAAGACAAGAACAAAGGATTAGCAGACAAGAAAGGTCCAGGGTTAATGGACACAAATGTTCCTGACCCTGACCATCAGGATTCTGACACGTGTCTAGTACACAAAGATGTACCAGGCACTAGTCATATACACATCCAGGAATGATTTTCCAGTCAATGAGGTGCCACCCTACCAACGAGCAATGATTCACCTGAGAAGCTTCAAGCTGCAGGCAATAGTTGCTGTCATCTCCTTTTTTAAGCTGTCTAGAGTGAGTGCTCCTAAATCAAATGGCATTTCTATTCAATATGGACAACCTTCCTCCAGATTCACTGAAGGATTATGCTGAAGTTTATTCCACCTAGGTGCATTTGGATATTTACCCATGGAGCAAATTAATTACAAAACCCACTTATACATGGCTTTAAAACTATATTTTAAAGCTAAAAAAGCAATAATAATGAAACAAGAAATGTTATTTCCCCTGCCACATCACACCACCCCCACTACACTACTTTAAGTCATTAAAATTTTGATTGCCAGTTAAAAAACATATTTTATTTGTCCCTGCTTTGTTCCCCTCCTGTTTCCTTTCTGGAAAACATAAAAACATAGAAAAATGCCTTTTTTGTACCTGCAGTTCTGAGAAGGATGGTTTCTTTCCCTCCCACTGGGACAACAGCCAAAAGTCCCAGCAGTGGTTGTCATGGTACATTTGTCAGATGCCAAGTTACCATTTAGAATAAAACACTGCTGATCCTATGAGAGCTTGAGACAACTTTTGTGTCATTCAAATGGAGGCGTGGGGGAAGGGGGGGGGGGGGGGGAGTGAAAACCTGTACTTCAAACAAAACTATACACAGCTTTAAGCATGAGGCAGCAAAGCTGAAATTCCATCATCCAAGTTAAAGTGAGAGAAAGAGTCCAAGGAGCTGAGCTATGAGTCTGGTTTAGATGTTTCAGTTGAATTGATAAGTGCAACATTTATAGATTCTCATAAAACAAACAATAGGTTTGTTTCAGGTCTACACGTCTGGTACAGCAGGGGAAAAGGAAGCAAATGGAGAGATGGGATGTTCCATTTGCACATAATTACATACTTTTCTCTCTGCCCAAAGTCCAAAAGCCTAAAATCTCCCTAAAATCTATAGGACTGATGGTTGAGATTTTCAAAGCCGCATTTCTAAGTTATCTCACTTTTGATATCCCACATAGGTATCTGAAAGGGGACTGGTGTTCCAAGGGAACCCATAGTCTGGAAATGAGACTCCTTCTATCTGTCTGAAATGAGACTCTTTCTGCTATCAACAGTTGTATTCCATAGAATAAAAGTACCTAAATTCAGTAACTACTTTTGAACCTCTGCATGCATTTCTAGGTCAGGTTCCTTCTCCTAAAAAATTCCTCACTATTTGGAAATCTCAGCCTCTCCAGGATGTATATTAATGCAACCTGAAAATTTTTAGCAAGTCAAACCATTCTGGAAGAATCTGGGCAAATTCTGATATTCTGTTCATATAAATAGGCATTAATATATGTCACTTTGTCTCAGAAATGTGAAATTACAGAGGATGGACTCAGTTGTTCTTGTTTTAGTCATCTGTTGAAGATATCTCCAGTCCAGCTGATTAGCTTAGATTCCAGCTGAGACAAGCATGTGCTTGGAGGGTGAGTATTTTTTCTTCTTTTCTTTTCCACTGCTGTGTTTTAAATGAGTACTCTGCAGTGATATATTCTCTCCTAGAAATTCCTTTTCTTCTCTAAACAGACTCTTCCACAGGATGTCTACATAAACTAACTTGTCAACGTCTACGTTGTAGATGTCGACAGTGAACCTGCTCATGCTTACACATGGGTTTTATTAAGAAATTTTTGGTCCAGCCCATGTGACATCTATAGGATGGATGTGGTGGAAAAAAACACCATCTTCTGATGAGAATCACCGAATTTCATTACTAATGCATTGGTGTAGTGAAGATCAGAGGACTGTTTTTCAGGATGGATGACAGAAAAAGAGCCAGTGAGATGAGAGAGGGATGCGGTTTCCATTTGGAAAGGCCAAAATCTCATCTCTGTTACATCCCTGGTGTACATCTGGAATGACTCCATTTAATTCAGTAGCACTGCTCTGGATAAACAGACAGTTGCATTTATCTCCACAGACTTGTCGCTTACAATGATGTGAATCACAAGCTGAAATCAAGGGAACTCTGCCAGTTTCATAAGGAGCAAGCAGGAGGAAACTTAGACTCTGAGCCTGTATTTCAGCCCATGCCTTTGCCACTGTGCTTTCCCAGTTCACTAATTTCTGCAATGTTTTCAGGCTCGTGCTGGCTTTTCCCCCACCTCCAGAACAATGCTTGCTGATTTTTAACAAGTAACCACTGAGACAATCAGCTAGAATCTGACCCGACATGCTGCATGCTAAACAGCTTTTGTAACTAAGAGAGGAAAGTGTGTTTTCTGCTCTTTTTCTTCCTTTCCTTATGTGAGATACTCCCCCCGTATGCAAAACACAACGTCTGTTGAGCTCTGAAGGAAATTAATGCATCTAGGATTTCTGTTGTAATCATAATAATGACACAGTGGGGGTTTCTGGCTTGTTTTTCAAGGAAATAAACAATTTAATTTGTCCTGATGTCAAAAGAGAACACTGGGGCAAAGCACTGGTATCCCCAGTGGAGGAAGGGCCTTATGTGTTTTCCAAAAAGAGCAAGATAGGACAAGGATGAAAAACAACCTGGCAGAACAGTGAGCATTATGCAAATTTGGGTTCCAAGTGTCTCTAATAAAAGGAGAACTTTAAATACGAGCCTAAATCTACTGTAGATGGGATTTGGGTACGTAATGACATCATTCACATAGATTGAGGTTTTCAAAGGACCATGACTGGATTTTCCAACTGGTGGTCAAAATCCCTCACTCACCAGCATTTTTCCTACAGTGTGACAGATTTCAAACATAGCTGTCATGAAAAGAAACATGGATCCTTTCGTATTTTTAGGGTGCATACCTTCCTACCAGATATGCCTGCTGCACTGTCATACCAGTCAGTCTACCTGGATGGACAAGACCATCTCTGTGAGCAGATCTTCTTTCAGATTATTTAGCAAAGAATGCAAGATCTCTGTAGATTTTTTTCCCACCAAAATACACCATTCAGATAGAATCAATCCTCTTAAGCTCTTTGTTAAGTTACCGCATCTCCTAAATTTTATTTATTTACTTATTTTTAATGCAGAAGACTAAATATGGGTTTCTGCCTCATCTCCCCAATCGGGTTTGTGGAAAAACTCTTAAGAAGAGGATAAACTCCTAATTCCTTTTGAAAACTGGAGCTCAGCAATTCCTCCTGCAAATTTCACTCATCAGATATCTGCAATATTCTTTAGCTGAACTTAACACTTTGGTCTTTACTCATAATCAGTTGGAGAGGAGCAGGCAATCATACATGCAATTCACCTGATTGCAATTCTAAGGTCAGGTAAGCCATAATTAACTGTGCAGGAGCTATTGGGTCAGCTGCATGTTAACAGATGTCCTTCATGATTTCACCAGAGGAATAAGGACATCAGTATTGTCTCAATGACTATACAATAAACAAATAAATAAATAAAAACTCCAGGTTGAATGCTTGGCTTAAGCTATTTCAAAACTCAAATCAGTGCTGGAAATGGAAAAGGAAATTAATTCACAGAATCATGGAATGGTTTGGGTTGGAAGGGACCTTTAAGTTCCAACCCCCTGCTATAGGTAGGGACACCTCCCTCTAGACCAGGTTGCTCAGAGCCTCATTCAGCTTGGCCTCAAATGCTTCCAAGAAGGGGAAATCCACAGTACTCTAGGTGGGGTCTCATGAGAGCAGAGAATCAACTCCCTCAACCTGCTGGTCACACTTCAACCCAGCCTACAGTTGACCTGGGCTGCAAGCACACATTGCTTGCTCATGTCAATTTTTCATCAACAAACACTCCCAAATCCTTCTCCTCAGGACTGCTCTCAAGCCATTCTTCACCCAACCTGTATCTGTGCTTGGGATTGCTCTAACCCAGATGCAGGACCTTGCACTTGGCCTTGTTGATCTTCATGAGGTTGCCCACCTCACCAGCCTGTCCAGGTCCCTTTGGATGGCATCCCTTCCCTCTAGCATGTCAACAGCACCACTCAGCTTTTTTTTGTGTGTGTGTGACTTGATTACTAGATTTCCATTTTCCCTTTGTCACTGTCCTGAAACGTGTTCTCACACCATGATACATACCCAGTATCATCAAAGTGAAGCCTCAGCACTGCCCAGACAGTGACACAAATTGTCGGGGTGCCTGCAGAAGACAAGACAAGTGATGCCATTATCAGCCTAGAAACAGTCAGTACTCACAGAGAGCACTTCTTAGCAGCTCCTCCACTAAGGTTTTATTCCCTGAGAGCACTCACACCTCACACACCAAACAACACAACCCACTGCAGTCATTCAGAGCTCTAGAAACATCCACCTCAGTCAGAGGACAGGTGAGCTTTGATGGGAATAAAGTTGGTAATAGAAAAGAAACATGTTCAGATCATTATTACTCAAAGCTTATGTCTTGCATTTTGATGCCTCAACAATAAAACGTAGCCTGTGCAAAACAAAAGCAGAGACATCAGGTTCTGTGTCTAGAGCTCCTATAACCCTGAAAGCATTGCAGAGTGGCAGATGCTGTAATGGTATTATTGTACTCTTCTTATTCCTGTGTGCTTTTGTTGTAAATGACTTGCCTATGTTGTGTTTTCCCTGCTATTGTAAATAAGAAACTTTTGCTTTACTTTCACCCAATAGAAATCAGTAGAGAGTAGTTTTCCCTCATTCACAGGAATTTTTTCTGTTTTCTTCCTGAGTAAGAATAAAAAAAAAAACAAAAACAAAAAAAACTAAGAACAAATGATTTTAAAAAAACACCAAAGCAAAACAAACCCAAACCTTGGGAACAAGAACGTTTCCTTTCTACTTCTGAGATTTCCCTCATCTTTAAAAAATACATTAAAGTACAAATTAAACCAAAAATCGACTGAGAAGCCTGGATTCATTTTCCCATCTGAAAGTACAAAAACAATGTTTATTCAGTGGAAATATTTTAAAAAGTGAATGCTTTCTTGCAGGAAAAATCTGGGTAAGTTGTTTCTCTCTTTTATGGCAAAGAAAATCAACTGGGAAAATGTCTGCATCTACTGTGGTACCATGGAAAATGGTCATTCATTGAGGTGCCACTGGAAAGTGGTCATTTATTGAGGTGCCAGTGGAAAGCAGTCATTCATTGAGGTACCAATGGAAAGTGGTCATTTATTGAGGTACCACTGGAAAGATAAAGCACCGAAAAGCAAACACAACAAAAGACCTTGATAACTCCAGCACGCAGCAGTGAACAAGACTGTCATGAGCTGACAGAAACAATTATGCTTCATACATTCTGCAAAGCTGCATTGATGTCATGTTAATTAGTCATTCAGCTGGATCTGCTTAAGTGAGCCTTTGTCAAATCTCATATTCCCACTCTCAGACATAAAAATACCCCTGTTAGACCTCCGTGATGGATGAAGCCTTCCTTCTGTCACAAAGTGTACACAGAAATATTTGAAAAGAAAATGATGAGAAGAAATGAAATGATAGGCTTTGGATTGAAGAAATCATGCGTGTTGTAATTTAAATTGATGCCTGCTTTTCTCACACGAGAATACCTAGAAAACATTAAGGTATTTGTGCACCCAGATGCATAAAAGTAATCAAAAATTCTTTAAATATCAGGCACGAGCCTGACATGCTACATAGTGCATAACTATTTGCACTGCAGACATTTTGTTGGTAGAAAATGATTTGCAAGCCTGAAGACGGACAAGACAGCAGAATTACACTCAAGGTCTCAAAAAAATGTACTTTAAAAAAGCATATTTGAGACTTTGAACTATCTGCTATATGAATATTCACGCACTCACTTTTCTTTAATCCAGGAGACATATACAGTCATCACAACCTTTTCATCTTCTGAGTAATATCTGAAAACAGAGAAACTCAAAGGGCTGCAGGAAAGAGCTGTTCTTGCTAACTGCCATTTCTGCCTTCAATAAGGAGCAGGCATAAGGAGGGATTTGCAGAGGAATCTCCAGGCTGCCCAGTCCTATCCATCCAGCAAACTCAGTGTGCTTACCAGCACCTCGCATATTTAAGAGGACAAAATTGGATCAATGCAACCATATGTAGTTCTCATTAATTACACACGGACACTGACATGCTCAGCACATTTTGAGGAACAGATAAACATCCAGACCCAGCAAAACGCTGAGCTGCTGCCTACTGCTGCTTCAATGCAACCACTTTCCTAGCAGCTGTAAGCCAGGGGGCTTTTTTTTGACCTACAAGGGTTCAAACATGAACCCAGAGTCTGGAAGAGCTTCTGTTCTTGCAAAGCACCAACTGCTCCTTCTGTGCCTGGGGAAACATTACCCAATTTGAGATACTCAGGAAATAACAAAATACTGTACTTGAAAAAAATAAAACAGCCCATGCTGGGAAATTCTCTTAATATTATTAACGGTTGTCATTTGAGATTGCTGTGTATATGAAGCGGTATCTATAAACTGAACAGCCAGATCTTAGTTATAGTATTCAACTTGAGTGTAAATTTTGAGGCTGCATGAAAGAATGAGTCCATCTGGGTAGCTCTTTTTTACAGATCATTATTTTCCTTGTCAGTTAAGACACTGTGCTGCAATATCCTCATATCCAGATGCACTGACAGACAAGAAATTTGTGCAGGCTCAGCTAAAGTAACTCAACCACCGATATGTATCTGCTTTGCAAAGATGTACATTTTCTTTTAAAATTATCACATTTTTGTGTACTCATCCCCAAGTTCTCTTAGAGAACAACATATTTCAGCAGTAGTGTAATCAAACATCTGTGCAGAGCACAAAGGGAACTCTGAAAACCCTTCATCAATAATTTCCCAGCCTTGGCGTGCTATTTCTGATTATCTGCTCTTCCTTCTCCGTCCCTTTGCCCACATTGCAGGGAGTCTTTGCCAGGAGTTGGGAATTTTTGGGTAGGCACAGTTGCCTCAAGAGAAAAAAAAAATGACAGCATCAACCAAACAAAAAAAAAATCTAAGCAACATCAAAGCAAAATTATTTTTCAAAAGAAAACTCTTTAAGGTACACGGGTTGTATGTAGATTTTATGCATGAATTTGTGGTGTTTTTTTTTTTTTTTTCCCCAAGGTAATGACAGAAACAGTGTTTTTTAAGTATAAATATGGAGTTCGACCTTTTTCAGGCATCTTTAAAATGAATGGATTTTTCTGCAAACTACAGTTTGCATTAACATGCTACCAAAATCAATTTACCTCCAGGAAACCACCATGAAAAGTAATTGCTCAGTTATCACCTTACAGTTGATCTTCTGAAACAAATCTTACTTTTTCCCAACACTGCAAGTTTCCATTTGCCACCCAGGTATGAGGGGCATTTTTGGGTACCCTTTGAACATGCTTTCAATTTCTCTATTGGGTGGGAGAAAGGCACAAAGGAAGGCTTAGAGAATGGACAAGACTTAGTGTTTCAGCCTTGATTAAGCTGGAGAACTTGTTATTAAGTTCATATCTTGCAGAAGGCAGTTCTGAACTGTAGACTAGACATCTGCAAGTGATGTGATGTCCTCCACATTTCAATCCAAGTCTATCTAAATAAGCACAGCAAGGTTTGGCTTGCAGGATGCTTCTAAACAAGGACTTAACTTGCACTTTGGATCTGTATAGAGGAATATTAGATAGTTCATTCACATGCCTGCCTTCAGGATAAAGAGATACGTTATACACAAGGAATATCACCTACCCCAGCCAATAATGGTGTACCAGTAGAAATACCTCCTCTCTGGGAAGAAGGTTTCTACCAGTAATGTGAAAAGGTACAGCCCCTCAATGAAAAGCCAGAAGTAGTTGGACATGACACAGTAGTGAAAAAACACCATCACTGCTTTGCACTCCACCTGCAGAGAACCAAGGGAAAAAAAAAAGTTATTTTCATGCTGTTTTGCCTGAGATTAGCATAGAAAATGCTTTCAACCTCTCCAAATCTGTTAGCGGAAAAGAACACAGCTGGGACTGCTATTACACACTTTTAACAATAAAGTTTTAAAATCCTGAAAGGAATGTCAAGGGCCACTTAGAGGGAAACGCTGTGAAGGGTAGGTGGCCAATTTTACCAGTGGGGGGTGGCCAGCAGACAGCCTGAGAACTTCTTCCATTAGGTGGGAGTTTGGCAATGGACTTTAATTACCAGATTGGAGCTCCCTCCGAAGTATTAAGTGCAGACAAGAAAAGAATCCAGTTGTGCACTAAGGAACCAAAGGAAGGAGGTGAAAAGGAAGGAAGAATGCGGGAAGTCCTGAGAAGGATCAGGAGGGATACACCTTTCTGTGTGCACACTTGAGAATTGCACTTTCTGGCGTGGTCACTCAGGGGAAGATAATGAAAGTGTTTACATAAGTGTAGAGAAAGCAGAGCAGTTTGCTGTGCAAAATGATAGAAACTTTCATTCATTCACTGGGGGGAGAGGGGGGAAATAATGCACAAAAGAAAAGGGAAAAAGCCTTTAGTGGAAACTGAGCTCCAACCTGACTCTGAGTGTAGGACACACTTATCTTGGCAGTGTTTCATACCAGTGAGACATCACAAGACTTACCAAAGTGACTTTTCAATACATCAGAGTAAAATTAGTATATAAATTGGGAGCTCCTGTCTGGAAAAGTGGGAGGCTGTCAGTTTAGACTGGTTCCGAACTGCCATCCCATCCCATTCTTCAGGGCAAATCTGAAACCAATATGTCTAAACTAGAAAAACAAGAGTTGCTTTACAGAAGCTCTACCAGTTTGTGCCAGCTGAAGATGTGGCCATCAGAGCTCTCATTGTAAGATGTTTTATATTTGGAGTGTGTTAGGACAAAGAAGCAGATGGCATTTTAAAAAGAGAGTTATGAGCAAAGCGCAAATCTATAATGGTTTCAGATTTTACACAGAGAAGAATTTAAAGCAGGAACTAGTTTTAATGAGGAAGAAGAGGCAAAGAAACTACACAGGTGTGATTTTCTTGTGGAAGTGACTCACAGAGAATTTATATTATAAATGGGTGAATGAAGGACATTTCAGTTTGGGAACTCAGTGTAATTCCATCATCACTACACCAGATGAGTTAGTTTGTCAAAGCAATATTACCCTTAAATGTGAATGGAGTTTGGCTTCACATATAAAATATAGAAAAGTGCTTTGGTGAAAGAGACTGCTCTCTATGAAACCACACACTGCACAGCTCCCCTTCAGAGACAAATACATAGCTAATATTAACAATTTTAATATTAACAATTTCATTTTTTTAATGTGACTTTCAGGGCTGCTTTCTTGTGTCTGGATGTTCACATGCCTTACAGGTGACTCTTCCCAACATCCATAGCAAATAAGGCTCTGGAGAAAATCCAGTCTCCAGATGAAGAAAACCATCTCTGCTTCCTTCCCATTTATCACTACATAGATTCATGAGAAACAAACCAAAGTCAGAAAATGAAACTTGAAGATTTGTGCTAATAATATGTGCACTGTACTGTTTATGTGGGACTATCCCATTCACAGTGAACTGCGAGAGAAGTTTACCACCAATTACCTTCCCTTCCAATAGCTCCTCAGCCTCTCATACTCAACAGACTGCTGCCTGCCTCACAATTTTTGTGTTATTTCATACTGGAAAAAAAATAAGGGAAAAGGGTTTGATTTTAGTCTTACTTACAGTGGAAATAAAACAGTGGTTGCCATCTTGCTCAGCATAAAGAACTCCATCTTTAATGAACACTGATATTGCACGTAGGATGAATGAAACAAAGAGGTTCATGTGGATAAAGTTCCGAGTGCAGTGAAGCTTCCTAGAGAGGAACACATAAAAGAGAGGAAAAATCAGTGGTGGAGAATAAAAATATATCTTCTTTTCTTTTTGTGGAAATAGCACCTAGGCCTGTCTACACCTACAGTCAGAACACAAAGTACCTGGGTAGTAAGAATAGAGACATCTGAAGGGCAGGAGTGTGGATAATTCTGACCCTAAACACAACCAAGAGGAGGATTTTCCTGCAAAACCATGCAAATTAACACAAAATAGAGCCAGTCCAATGGAGAGAGTTGCTGCAACAGCATCTAGAGCCTACTGAAATATGACCACCATAGTGGGTCCAACAAGGGGAACAACCAGACTGAAGGGCTGCTTCCCACTTGTCGTATGACATATGGTATAAAAGCTGAAATGTTGTTTGGAGTCGATGAGCTCCAGCCTATTTTCAGCAGTGGTAGAGCCACTGGCACTGCTCTTGTCCCAGCTCACCTGAAACGACACAGGATCACCATGGCAGTGGTGAGGGAAACGAGGGATGTGCTGTATCCAACTGTGTACAGCGCCTTCACGGATAGATAGTAGTAATCCTTGGAAGACAAACATCACAGGGTTAAATGGTTCAGCTATGGTCACTTCTTCACTGTGTCAACATGCAGGGGGAAGCACCAGCAGGATCTGTTTCTCAATTGATATTTCTCAACCCAGTATCTCAACGTGTATTAGAGCACTGCCTCATGGTTGGCAGACTCTTGGTTTTGAACACTGGAGTTTATGCATCAGTGAGCTACAAAAGCTGCCTGTAGTTCTGTGACCACTATGTGTAGGAAAAAATACTAGCTTGCCAAGGGATTCTGTAGTCAGTAGGGGATGTAATGGGGCTAGTTCATGTTTCTAAACATTACAAGCTGTATTAACAGCAAACATTCATATTCCAAAAACATAAACTGAGCTAAGAAGGATACAAGTCTTATTTCTCATGTATTTATGCCCATAAATATCTGACAATCAGAACATGACCAGAAGCTGGACAAAAGGAAGCTGCCCAACTCCCACTTCTTTTAAATTATAAGAATACCACCCACCTGGTTGTCTGACTCTGTTTCATTTTCATCGAAGCCGCAGGCATCATAATAATGAGGAAAAGGTTCAGACCAGCCATCTTCAGTGCAATTTCTGCTGATGTCCCCTATGTCAAGTGCAACAGGTATAATTGGGAACGTCTTGCTGAAGCAAACCCAAGGATAGACCCTCTATCCCCTTGAGACAAGTCCACAGTACCAGTGGGAGTACTATTAGAGTACCCAAAAAAGGCTTTAGCAGAGCCCTTAATCTTTAATGACATCTTTAACGACCTACTTCTATGCTAGGCACTACAGATGTCTACTTCCAGTTGGTCAACAAAGAGCAAAAAAAGATCTAATCAGCACAGCCAGGGCACCAAAGAACTCATTCTGAAGTGGATTCAAAAAACAGGGTCAGATAAATGCCCACTTCTCTCCATTGACTCCAAAAGGCAGAGTGGAAACGCAGCCTCAGTGCCGACACTTGCACTTCAGACGACTAAAGAGTAAGTCCAGTGCTTGAATATATGCACTTTGTGTTATTGTAATGATCTATATCTGAGCCATTTGCATGAGACTGACAAGAAAACATGGTGCTAACGTGATTTTTTTAGAATAGGGTCTGGAAGCCAGATAGCTCTGGGGTATCTAAACTGGCCACTATATATCTGAGTGAGGCAGCTGGATGTGCCCTTATAGTCAGATATCCCACCCATGTATCTCCAGGTTTGGCTCTACTCCTGCTGCTCTGTAGGAAAACAGAAAATGGAGTGGGAACCTCTTCCCTGTCACTATCACTAGTCCATGATTCTCTGATCCTACTATCCTGACAGCAAGTTCATTTACATCTCTTCGTTTAGAAGCCCACTGTGGCTTCGCTTGGCAATTACCCCCTTCAGATTTTTCTCTTCCTATTATTTGTGCCAATAATAATTTATGGCCTCGCTCTGAAAGGCGTGTTTGCTAGGAGGCTCAAAACTGGCTTAGAGAAAACCTCTTTCCCTTTTTCTCTCATTTTCTCCTGTTTCACTAATCTCATTTAATGAGTAGCTCCTAAATGGCATTTGCCAGGACTGCCAAAATGCTTCAAACTGCATTGGAAGCAGGAGCTGGCTGTAGAAGAGGAAAGCATCTCCTGATACTCTCTTTGATACTGAGGTGGGATGTCCCCTCATTACACTCTCAAAGCACCATTACTTTACTCAGAGCTCACTGACCAGGTAAAAAACTTAGAGCTGGTCTGCTGGCTGCACTGATTTCTCTCCAAAACAAAAGAACAGTTTTCATTTATTCAGCTATTACCTCTTCTTTTTTATTTTTTTACTTTAAGCAGTACTGTGACGTGAACTGATGGAAATGACAAACTTTTTTGTTTCTTCATTTATTTGTTCAGGTTTTTTTTAATGCCAAGATTATGCTATTTCACATTCTTAGAGCAATTTAGTCAATTAGCTTATGACACTAATGGTGACCTTCTTTTTAGAGAACATTCGCCATCCACGTGCCAGAATACACTGATTTAATCACTGCAATAGATTTACATTGCATTACCTGGCAAATTTTGGTAAATTCACATTCATCTCCAGTTCTTCATGGAGATTAACCACTGAATCATGGTGTTGAGTTTCTTCAACACTGTTTAGTTAAACTATTGTTCAGCAGGCAGATATAATTTATATCAATTGTCTTGCAGGAGCACAAGACTCAATAATGGATGAATACATTTTCATAACACTGTTAAAATGTAAGCTCAAGAAAATGTGTCACCATCATTAAAACTGATTAGAAAATAATACCTAAGTGGAAGGAGAGAAAGCTTGGAGCTTCCTTTATAAGAGAGCTAAAATAAAAAAGAGAAACATTCTATGGTTGTGCTGCTTACCTAGGGGAGTCTCGGCTGTGCTTTCCAGCAGGTCATAATCACCTATAAAAGTGGAAATCCGGTATGAAATTGTTTGGATTGCATTTTCTATGAGGACCCCAACTGATCTCTGCGGAAGTCAGTGAATAGAATCCATTTGATTTTTATTTGTTTGGGTCTAAAGGCAAAAAATTCCTAATTCTGTCTTTTGAGGAAGTAAACATTGGTTTACTTGTAAGTTTAAATCAAGATTGAAGCAATGAAGTTTAGAAATTGCTACTGAAAGCAGTGAGCACATGGCTAAAAAAGACAGCAAATCAAACTGGGAAAAATTTTATTTAAAAAAATATGAAGATTAAGCATTACATTTCTAGAAATCTAAGGACTGAAAAATCCTTAGAAACCCATAGATATTGAAGTATGGATAAAATTCGCAAAAAATGATTTCCATTTATCAAATTATAATTAGTTTCAATTTTGTGTTTCTAGGCTAAGATGATGGCGAATTCTAAAAAATATCAAATTTGTATTTTTTTATCTTGCTGTTACAGAGAGCTACGTGTATTCATTATCACAATAATTGTTGTGCAGAATAAGTTTTCAGTAATCTGAGATTATCATGTCCTTTATAGATGGCTTATGAGAACAGAGGTGTGTAGGAGGTAATTGGCACCACTGGTCCTTACCTGCATGAGTTTGCCCCAAGTTGTCTACTTCCCAACCTGAAATGAGAAGAAGAAAAACAAATAATTTGATTTTGAGGCTTTGCTGCCCATAAAAGGAAAGGATGTAGTAAAGCCTATGGATCATAAGGGTTGGAGAAGACCTCCACGATCTTCCAGTCCAACCATCCCCCTATCACCAACACTGCCCACTAAACCATGTCCCTTATTACCACATCTACTCTTTCCTTAAAAACCTTCATGGATAATGATGACCTCATCACCTCCCTTTGCAACCTTTGCCAATGCAACACCACTCCTTCTGACAAGAAATTCCTACTAATACCCAATCTGAATCTCCTCTGTTGCAACTTGAGGCCATTCCCTCTCGTCCTAGCAAAGAACTGCAGGAGACTTTTGTTTGTTTTTCAAGTTGAGTAATCTATGTTTACAGCCAAAAAGTGGTTTTCAGAAGACGGTCCATCACACTGCATTATTTAAGTTTTTTTTTTTAATTCATGACCTGTTTGTTGTTTGTATTTTTTCAATAGGGAAAAAGGTCCTGAAATAAGAAATAGGCCGCATATTTCCAAGACGAAATCCACGATCTGCACTTTAGAAACACTAACATCACAATGGGGAATCTTACAAGTTTGGGTTTGCATTTCCTTTTTTCATGCTTTTTCTTGTGAAAAGCTGATATTACCCCAAAGCAATCTCCCACCCAGCCTGATGTGTACTTAACCCCAATTGCACCGGTCAGATTTTCCCTATTCCTGCTGGGTTTGGGCTGGATGGATGCTGCAGGCTGAGTGCAGAAGAGCTGCCCTGTGCCGCTGTGTGGTGCTGCTGCATTGCATGCAGCAAGACTCAAAGCTGCCTGCAGGAGCTCTATCAGCCACCCACAGATCAAACAGGACAAGAGAAAAATCCTTGTCAGCCATTCATAGGCTTCCACATCGGGTTAAATACATAACATAGCTTAGCACTGTACCCCCCTGGAATAACCGCTGAGCTTCAGCTTGTTCTTTCACCCCAAACATGCAGTTATTTCTTAAGCATGGACTGCAAAGGTCTTTGCTATTTGTGCAAGAGGCTTTGCTTTAAAAGTGAAATTCTATACAAAATTAGGTCTGAAAAGGAGAAAGACAGCATCCAAGGAAAAAAAAAAATAGAAAAGGGACTCCTTCCTGCACAGCCTGAAGTGCTTTTTATATTTTACTCCTTTTCAGAGCCATAATCAGTTTTGAATTCACTGATTTCTCTCTGTGCTTTAAAATAAATCAGAGATACTTTTAGATCTTAGCTGGAAATAAAAGGGCTTAGTGTGAAGATGATGCTGGAGTCTAGAAAACAAAGATAAAGCTTTTGCTAAGGCCTTTTCTTTTCTGGCATCCCCCCTTTCAGGCAGGCTATAATGTGTCTCTGAAAGGATGTATTCAGCATCAACCTTCAGCAAACCTACACATCCTGTAGCTCATTACTTGGAAGAGTTAATCCCCAACACTGTGATGAGGACACCTTTGTCTCTTGGCTGCTCTGCCCAGCTTCAGCAGCTTTCCAGATGCCACATATATGAGATTTCTTAGATGTTTTCAAATACTATGAATACTGAAGATAAGTCAGCAGTGCATTTTTCAGCGAAGCTCTTTTAACCTGCTGCATCACACTGAAGTACCAGATGTTGCAGGCAAACCACGACTCTGCTCAGGATTTTGGGCAGGACATCAGGGATACCTCTGCAGAATATTTGCACAGATCTATGTCTCTCCTGAGCCAACCAAAAACAAGATTTAATAAGATTGATTGGCTCAGCCATATATGTTGCTAAAATCTGAATGGAGATGGCCAGCTTCAGGATATCCCCTGGGAATTTTTGCCTGTGGTTTTACTGGGAGAAGTATTAAAAAGCAAGACACTGCTTCTGGATCACTGTCCATGTCTATCCTTTAATGCCACTCAAGTTAATAGCTTATAATGGAATTTGTTCCTTATAGGAGTCACCTCACCTAAAAGCCTGGATCTGTTGATGACCTATAGAAAAAGTGCAAAAAAACCCCAAAAACCTAAGAGTTCTCTGACTCAGAAAAATGTGATTGTAGTTTGCCAGTGCCACAGAGTGACTTAAAAACTATGATGTGATGCTACAAATTTTACAATGTTCTCGTTAGAAGAGAGTTGTTAAGTAGATTGAAGCCCTGTATTCCTGGTATCTTGGCATGTTACACTGATGGTTCTGACTAGATAGATGGCTGGCTGGTTGGATGGGAGGGTGGATGGATAGATAGATGGATAGATAGATGGATAGATAGATGGATAAACAGATGGATGGATGGATGGGTGGATGGATGGATGGATGGTGGGATGGATGGTGGGATGGTTGGATGGATGAACAGATAGAGAGACAGACAGGTAGATAGACAGACAGACAAAAATGAATTATAAGTGCTTTAAGTGTGTTGCTGTTGGGTTTTGTTTGTTTGCTCTTCCCAGTAACCTAAAAAGGAGGACATAAAACCTGCTGTTATTTGACTCTTAGTACAGGCCACACTCGGCTGCAGTGATGGTAGAATACCCAATTTGAATTCATTTCTACTACCGTGACCTTGGTACCAATGGAACATTATGTTAATGTAGCTTTTTGAAATTAAGAGGCTTTTTATATTAACCATTTTCTCTGCAGCCGGATTGTTACTGCATTTTAACCGTGTTTGGGCAATATGAAGGGATTCACATTTTCAATGATGTTCACTTTCTGATTGCTGTAGGAATAAGCTTGCCATTTATTAACGTATCTGTCTACATCTAAATCCTTGCTAATGCACTGAGGAATGTTCCAGTACAACCTTTTATTACAAAGGCTTTCAAGCTTGATCCATCAAACTAATTCTCACTAATAAGTTGCGCCACCGGAACATCAATTAGATTTACATTGAACATTATGGTCTGAATTACACTGAAAAGTCAAAGTCTACCTAATGAGTGGTGAGATAACATGCACATATATAAAATAATATGTGCTTATATGTGTATATATGCATAAAAACCATGCAGTGAAGGAGCATACAGCCACCATGGGGCTTCAGATTTATGTGTGCTGGTCTTGCCTTTCTCTCTGACACTGTGCACTGAATCCCCCACCACCAGAATGTGACTGTTCACATGACCATACCAATGGGTATGGCTACTCAAAGGTATGAAGGGTGTGATGGGCTTTATTTGAAATATTTCTGTGCTTAACATTTAACACAGAATGACAGAATCATAGAATGGTCTGGGTTGTGAAGGACCACAATGCTCATCCAGTTCCAACCCCCTGCTGTGTGCAGGGTCACCAACCAGCAGCCCAGGCTGCCCAGAGCCACATCCAGCCTGGCCTTGAATGCCTGTAGGGATGGGGCATCCACAGCCTCCTTGAGCTTGCTGATCTGGGGCTATATGAAGACTGTGGGTTGAGTTTCTCAACTTTACTCTGAAATTCTACTTTTTTTTTCTATCTCCAGAAGTCCTGAGCAAATTTGCTCCTGTGTCAGCAATGTAATGGGGAAAAACATAGGGCACCTTGCTGGGTGAGCTTTCAAACAAGTTCTTACAACACTTTTCTCTTGAGATGCAGACAGTGAGAAAGTGGTTCATTAGGCCTGAGCGATGCAAAAGGGGAAGTCCATTGGGGTGATTGTAAAGCAGGCTGGATGAATTATATTACTCTCCCAGAACTGAAGAATAAGTAAAACACCCTTTTCAGCTGCATTTTGGCTACTAGCTTGTTTTTCAATCTTTTAACACGACTTTCTTCAAGGCCTGTACTCCTTGCATACAGTTAAATAACAGCACAGTACAGACTACAGAGAGACAGAGCCAATGGAAGCCATTAAACAATACCTTAGAAAACCATTTTTAAATCAATAACTGCCCGCATTAGTCAATAAACTCCTGAGGAAGCTAATGCTATTCTTGACAAAGGATGACTGTCCAGTGCATTGACAGATAGTGTTATTTATTATTTGACCAGGTTGAATAGGAAATTCATTCGTTGAGAAGTAAGGCAAATTTTCCATTAGTACTTGAGCTGTCATTATTAATTAGGTGTTATTTGCAGTACTACTTAGAGGCACTAAAGAAGATGCATCAGAACGAGGAACTGCTAGTCCCAAAAATCAAACACAGAAATCAAACAGAAAATACTGCTTATTTCTACTTTCTATATGAGAAGATAAAATAGAAAAAACTAAACTAAAATAAAATAAAATGAATTCAAAGGACTCAGTAAGAGCTACACATAGTACCAAAGACCTGGTACTTTCATGCCAATTTCTTGCATAGGTATCAGACCTTTTTCCATGTTTTGTATTTGCTAGGCCTTAGAAAGAGCAGATACCTTCTCCCTATTCTCCAACGAAGATAAGAAATGTAACACAAGGAATTTTTGCTTCTCTTTTGCAGGGAACAGGGCTGGCAAAGTGAAAGCCAAGAAGCAGGCTGTGTACGATGAGCCTCTGCTCTGTGCAGCCTTTTAGATCAGCTCCTACATGCCAACTTTGTGCTGGCTGCTTTCGGTGTCAGCTGGCATGGCAACTACTTTATCTCCCATAGATTTGTTTATTTGAGCACAACAACTCGCATTTAACCCCTTTGTTCCAGCTTTTGCTCATTATTAGCTCAAGAAGGGGAATGAAAGGCTTGACAAATCATTCGGTCCTAAAATATTTTGCCCACACTCTAGCCTTATTTCTGTTCTCACCTCAGCGTCATTTGTTGGAGGGGTGGGTGATGGAAAACATTTTCCCAAATCACTTGTCATCATCACATCCAGCTCTGTGAATGACGAGCTGGGTAGGCAGGGAGCTAATTTTTCCCTGTTTTCTACAGCACCGATTAGGAATCTAACATTTAATTTAGAAACATGAAATTAATCCACCAGCCATCCCACTCCCATCCAGCACACGGAGCCCTTCCTCCATTGCTGCATGCCACTCCCCTACACTAGCAATCTGTTCAGCCAGCAGCATTCAGGATCAGTTCTATACATCTACAGCAAGGGCAGCCAGGCAAGGTTCAGA